TAATTTAATTTAAGAAGATTTGTGGGTTAAAAATTAAGGGCTTGTAAATGTTTACTGTATTTTTTAGGAATATTTCTTAAACAACTATGAATATACGTGGATTTAATTATCAATTATGTTATGAATATATAACTACTAGTTATTAGTTTATTATACAAAAAATATGTTGGTTAAAAAATAAAAGAACATGTTTGTGTCTTAAGTCTTTTGTTTGCGTCACAACTCTCTGAGCGTGAATTTGGATTTTTCCATTCATATGTTTACTATTTATAGAAAACTTCAATCAAATCATATCAAATTTTTAAATATTAAACAAATATTTTTTTCCATTTAGACACATTAACCCTTTGATACATATCTACAGAATTCAGATTTAATTAATGTCATAATATGTATCAAAATAAAATTTTGAATTTTAAATGTCAATTTAACGTTTTTTTTTTTGCTATAGTTTATACAGTTCATAAAAATTAACGTAGTACTATGAATTTTATTTTGCTGTTTTGATTTTATTTTTTTTTTTGCTCTCCAACACTTTGGTGTTTCATCAGCCATTCGCCATTAAAAACAAATTAAAATACTTGTTTCATTTTTTATCTTACATTTTTTGTCATATGTTTATTTTATTTTTTTTTTTTCAATTTTTTGGAAGATGTTTCAGGAAACTGGAAATGAAATATTTCTACGCGATACTGAGTTGGACTGGATGGAAAGCTTGAATTAAAGAGAGAAAAAAATGAGGGTCACAGTCATCAATTTTGAAAAGGACAGATCTATAGATGTGATTGACAATTTCCGCAGTGGCTGTTTAAAATAGATTGATGGATGTAGTCTCCATGTAAAACTGGTAATCAAGATTTATTTATTTTTTAATTGCTAATTTAAATATTCTAAATAAATTGAGTTTTAAGTGGAAATGCCTTAGTAGATTTATAATGAAATGGTGAGTGAAAGAGTAGTTAATGATGAAATGTTTAAACTGAGTTATTTGTCAAATAAACGTAAAATATATGGAAAGCATGTTAAAATGTATCAGTCGGATTTGCTGATGATTTATACCCCTAGCCAATGTTCGATTATTTAAATATATTTTGACTTCTCTTATGATTATTTAAATTGTTGATCCTCTATGGATTAGGTTTCGATGGAATGGGTCAATATTGTCCATTTCGAAACGGACCTAAATAAATATGATATAAATATTGCGACGTGCCAAGTTTGGACTATATCAACTTCGTTCTTTACTTTATGAGAGATATGTGATATTTTTTAGAAAATGTTAAAATGTGCGTGAGATACCTGAAGGAGAGGATCCAAGTATTCTATTTTCATGCTTCATCTAATACAGAAAAAATTTTCGTATGGAAAAAATTACAAAAAAATCGAACATTTATATCCAATTTTACGCGAGATCATGTTTATTTCGCATTCTTTGAGCGTTTTGTTTTTCGAAATCTTGAACCCTATGTGGGGGAGGTACCTAAAGGAATGGACCGATCTCTACCTTCTTTATACAATATCTTGTGCTTATGGAAATATTAAGATGTGCCCATTCTAAATGGAATCGGATCATAATTTATAGGGTGAGATAAAAAACTGCAACAAAGTCAAACGCCATAATTTTTACTTTTTTTTGAATGAAAGCGAAAGTCGGAAATTGCATCAAATTTTAGAAGATGTTTAGATTTGATCGATTTGTCACCTTTGGCACGAACTATGGCCTTCAAACGGCAAATGAAACCGTACACTCTTCCCGAATGTTGCTCTGCGGTATTCTGGCCCATTCTTGGCCAAGCGCTTGCTTGAGGTGATCGACAGTTTGATATTTTTTAGTGCCAACCTTGCTTTCCAAAATACTCCATACACAAAAGTACAACGGATTGGTATCCGGAGATTTTGGTGGTCTTTGTGAGATGGAAAAAAGCGGGAAACCTCATTTTGAAACCATTCTTGGTGCTGAGTGCGAGGGTGCTGAGTCCTGTTGGAATGTCCAAGGTCTGCGGCCAAAATGTTTGCGTGGCCAAGGCTTTAATACACCCTCCAGAATATTTTTGCAATAATATTCGGCATTTATTCTAATGCAACGATGGATTAGTACGAGCGGAGAGCAACCATCGGCTCTTATGGCGGCACAGACCATCACCATTGCCGGCGCTTGAGTTGTGGTGGCCAACCGAAGGTGCACCGTGCATATTTTCAGCTGACCTCTATCGCAAGTAAACACGATCATTTTTTTTCTGCCGTGTGGTGTAAGTTCTTGCACTTTTTGGAATTTCAATGGCTTTACCCCGAGCTCATTTTTCAATATTTGCCGAATGGAATATTGTTCAGCTCACTAGCCATTTTTCGGCCACTGCGATTTTTCGGCTACGTTATCAATATCACGGCAACGAGCACTGGTATGGGACACAAAAGATTTATCTTTATTTTTATTTATATTGTTGGTTGCAGTTTGTTCATCTCACCCTATATATTTCTTTAAAATAATGAGTTTCATCGATATTCAAAATGTTGACCCTTTGTGTGGGAGGTTCTAGAAGGAGTGGGCCATTATATCCCATCTTCACATCAGATTTCGGGTTAGTAAAAATAATGGGATGGGTGAAAAATGAAGAGAACCGAATACTTATTTCGGATTTTATAATAGTTTTGATTATTCTAAACTTTGTAGGGGAGGTAGCAGAAGGAATGGTCCGATCTCTGCCATATTTATAACAGATTTTTGTGGATGGAAATATTGATATGTACCAAGTCTGAATGAAATCGGATGTTAACTTCGCGTTTTATGAGTTTCAAGGATATTCAAAATTTTGACCCTTTGTGGGGAGGCACCAGAAGAAGTGGACCAGAAGATCTCTCTAGATGATGGGAGAATGTGAGGAAACCAAAAAGCTTATTTCGTATTTTATAATCGTTTTGGTTTTTCAGGTTATTCAAAACTTTGATTCTTTGTTGGGGAGGCACCAAAATGAATGGTCCGACCTCTCTATATAACAGATATTGTGTTGATAAAAATGAATGTTAATTTTGCGTTTCATGAGCTTCATGGGTATTCAAAATATTAACTCTTTCCAGAGGATATAGACCGATATATTCCGTCTTCATAGAAGACCTTGTAGTAGTAGATGTAGTGGGATGTGAGAAATATGAAGACAACCGGATGCTTAATTCGGATTTTATGATCGTTTAGATTATTCAAAATGTTGACCCTTTGTGAGGGAGGTACTTGATGAACTGGACCGGAGCAGAGCTTGTGTTAGTAGAAATACTGAGATATGGGAAATATGAAGATAACCGGATGCTTATTTCCGATTTCATGATCGTTGTGGTTATTCAAAATTTTGACCCTTCGTGGGGGAGGTACCATAAGGAATTTTTCGATTCCTACCATCTGCATGACAGTTGTGCTCATAGACATTTTGAAATGTGTCAAGTTGGATATTAATTTCTAGTTCTATAAGCTTCATAGATATTCAAAATTTCGACCATTTGTGGGGTGGAAGTAGTGGACCGATATTGCCCATCTTCACAGCAGATAATATAGATAGATGAAATGTGTAATTCGAAGATAATCGGTCACTTACATCACATTTTATAGAAGTTGTAATTATCCAAAATTTTGACCTTTTGTGGGTGAGGTGCTTGATAGAGTGGACCGATATTGTCTATTTTTGCACCTGGCCTAGCACTGACAAAAATATTAGGATTTGCAAAGTTGGAGTAAAATCGGATTATTGCTTCTCTTTCTGAGCAGAAAATATTTTTTTTGAAAATTTTCACCTTTTGTGGGGGCAGGTACCTCCCCACAAAAGGTGGAAGGAGAGGACCGATGAATTCCATGTTGGCACCAGACCTTGGTTTAATAAAGTTATTGGGATGTGTGCAATTTGAAGACAATCGGACTCTTACATCACATTTTATAAGAGTTATAATTATCCAAAATTTTGACCCCTGTGACCCCCTATTTTTGCACCTGACCTAGCAATGACGTAAATATTAGATTTTGCAAAGTTTGGGCAAAATAGGATTATCCTTTTTCTTTCTGTGCAGTAATATATTTTTATGAAAATTTCGACCTTTTGTGGGGGTGGTACCAGTGATTTGATATTGCCCGAACTCGATCAAAGTTTGACAATAATATTGTGAAATCGGAGAGAGTTATCGTGCACACCAGCCAGCCAGACAGATAGAGTGACGTATGGACAGACAGTCTATAACCCTTAGATCGACTCCAACTTTCAGTACGATTTGGTCCAAAGGGACCTAGGGTCCAAAACCGTTATTTCAATGAGACACGTTTTTGGCAGTGTTAAACGATATATACCCTCTCTAGCCATATGGCTGAGGGTATACAAATGGAGTGAAATAACAAATTTCAAAAAAAAAAAAAAAAAAATGATTTAATATTCCGCCGCCGTTTTTCAATATCAAAAAATCTAAAAAATTGATCCAATTCTAAAATAATTTAATCTAAATAAAATAAAAATTAAGCCATACAAAATTATTGCAATGTCACTAGTGACGCAGTTTTATATAAGTTCAGTGACAGTCCATAAAATTCGAAACTTTTTTTGTTCTACACATGGTATTATAATCAATGAAAAATATCAAAAAAAAAAAAAAAAAAAAACTCTTTCCATGCAGATTGTTAAAGCTATTCTCATAATATTCAATTTTCAAACTCTTCTTGCGTCCAAAACGCAAATGCTATGTAAATCCATTCATTTCGAGAGCATTTGATTAACATAAGTAGGCATTTACATAAACACCATAATCGGTTGTTTGATGGCAGATTATGACGTCAACGCAATCAGATCAGAATTTTCCATTTCAAATTCAAATAATCGCACGCTCTGCGCTTGTTAATGAAAACGCCCCATTAATAGTCAATAAATTCCAAATATGTTGTTGACATCTTCAGTGTGTCTTGAACTTTTTTCTTCTGTTGTTTTCTAGATGGAAGGGTGACTTACCGGAGTTGTTGCTACACTAAATTTGGCAGAGAGTTTGGGCCATTGTGTGGTGAAAAGAAAACCAAAAGATTTCGCATCATCATCACTAAATTGGTATAAATGTTAAACGACCATCTATGAAGGGTATCACTCAGCTGCAGCAACTCTTCTAGTAAGCCACGCAAAAGCTTCTTCAAACACACACAGCCAACATGAAATTCATCATTGTTTTCGCCGCTCTCTTCGCCTTGGCTTTGGCCGCTCCCGCCGAAGATGCTGTTGTCCTTAAGAGCGAATCTGAAGTTGGTCCCGAATCCTTCCAATATGCGTAAGTATCTCGAAAATCTATTGACATTGTAATGCCTCGACGACCACAAATAAAAGGATGGATTAATTCAACATTTTTTTTTCGATTTCCTTCTTATTACAGTTATGCCACCAGCGATGGCGTCGAAGCTGAAGCTCAAGGTCAATTGAAGAATGTCGGCTCTGAAGATGAAGCTATCTCCGTCAAGGGCTCTTACTCCTTCGTTGCTGATGATGGCCAAACCTACACCGTCAACTATGTTGCCGATGAAAACGGTTTCCAACCCCAAGGTGCCCATTTGCCCGTTGCCCCTGAAGCCTAAGATGTCTGATTGTTTTTAATTTGTTAATAAAAAAAAATGTTGTTTTAAACGAAATTTAAAAAAAAATGGAAATAGTTTCATTAATGTGAGGGTTTAGTTTGGGCTCCATTGCCATTTTGAAAGTGGGGGGTTAATCCTTAATACTTTCATTGTGGATGACCTGCAAAGGATAAATGGACAAAATACAAAAAAAATGAAGCTACAAATGAGGGAAATTATCGCCAATTTTTAATGAGCTGAAATAGACCAAAAAATGAAAATATTCTTGATCTTGCAGTTTTTCTTCAGATCACGGATAAAGACAAATCGATGCGAAATTTATGTTGGAGTTAGAGTTTAGGACTAGACTGAAGTCTATCATTTTCGATGGTCATCGGATAATATTTAGACGGTAAAATGGACTATAAATTTTGTGTGAAAAATAACAAAATCTCCGTTCAGCCATGAGTATCTGATTGGTGCTAATTCCGTTGAGGTATATAGCCAGATAAAGGTGGAAAGATATTAACTGACTTCTAAATATGGGGTGATTACAAAGAAATTGAGCATTATCTCTTGAGAACAGCCGACCTTCAAATTGGAAATTAAAGAAAACTTCAAATTGAACTTATTTTAAGAAGTTCAATTATGTACTTCAACATCTTGAGGGATTAATTTGTTCCAGTCCAAATGATTTCAGATCTACAGTAGCAGAACCCCACATTATTGTATTGTAGGATATCGGCAGAATCGGCTCCGTTGCTTAGTTGTTTAAAATAAAAAAAATCTTTTATCGATTTTTTTTAAATATTTTTCAACAACCATCTGAGGATTGCAGATTTTATTTGGGGTCAAACAAAAGCGGATTTTTAATATTTTTTAACAAATATTTTAGGTTTTTAGGTATTTTTTTAACATTTATTTTCAAAGAAGCTTCAAATTTCAAAAACAAAATCGTGAATTTGAAAATTAACATTGGACAGCCATAAGAGAATTTTTAACTTGTGACCATTATTTAAGAGATTTTTTAGAAATCCGCTCTTCTTTTTAAGTAGCTGTCGAAAAATAGTTAGTTTTATACCCCCAGCCATTTGGCAAGAGAGGGTCTATATCATTTGATACGACCAAAACGTGTCTCTTCGAAATAACGGTTATAGACCCCAGGTCTCTTTGGACCAAATCCGTTTCAGGACATTTCGAGTCAATCTAGGGGTGTTCGTCCAACAAAGAAAATAATTTACCCATAGAAAGAGAAAAAATCATTCGATTTTTTGCAAAATTTGCATCAATGCTAGGTCAGGTGCTATAATAGTCCGATTGTCTTTAAATTTCACACATCACAATATTTTTTAACCCAAAATCTAGTGTGAAGGTGGTATATATCGGTCCACACCTTCTAGTACTTCCCCCACAAAGGAGCAGCATTTTGAATAGCCTAAATACTAATAAAATGCTCTGATTCTCTTCAAATTTCACACATGTCGATTGGATATATTGGTCTACCCCTTCTGGTACCTCTAAAACTACGGGTAAAAATTTCGAATAGCCATGAAGCTCATAAAACGCGAAATTTGTATCCGATTCCTTTGATACTGGGCACAACCCAATGTTTCTATCGGCACAAGATCTGTTATAAATATGGTAGAGATCGGACCATTTCTTCGGGTATCTCCTCCACAAAGGGTCAAAGTTTTGAATAACCACAGCGGTAATAAACTCCGAAAAAGGCATCCGGTTCTCTTCATATTTCAAACATCTCATTATTTTTACTAACACAAGATCTGTTCTGAAAATGAAAAATATCGGTCAACTTCCTCTGGCACCTCCCGCGCAAACGGCCAAAATTTCGAATACCCATGAAGCTCATTACACGCGAAATAAGCATCTGATGCCTTTCAAACTTGGCATATCTCAATATTTCTATCAACGCAAGATCTTATATAAGGATGGTAGATATCGATCCCCGCCTTCTAGTACCTCCCCCACAAAGGGACAACATTTTGAATAGCCAAAACGCTAATAAAATGCCAAAGATTCACACATTTCATTATTTCTACTAACACAAGATCTGCTGTGAGGATAGGATATATTGGTCTACCCCTTCTGGTACCTCACCCACAACAGGTCAAAATTTCGTAAAACGTGAAACTAGCATAGCAATATTTCTATCAGACAGGACGTGTCGATCCTCTGCTTCTGGTACCTACCCCGCAAAGGGCCACAATTTTCAATAATTATATCTCTCAAACTTGATATATGTTAATAATTTTCTCAATCAAAGATCTGATGTGAATATTAAATTATCCTCCACAAATTTCAATATTTTGTTTGTTTGCATAAAATTGGAAATAACTGTCGATTTTCTTTAAATTTTGCACATCCCAATATTTTTGTCAATTTAAAATGAATTCAAATGTTTTGGTCCCCTATATGTGGTACCTCACACATATTTCAATATTTTCGAAATATTATCATATAGATGGAAGGAAGTCGTCGATTTAGTTCAAATAGAGTTAACTGTTTGAATAATTGTAACGCAAGTCAAAATATTTAATTAAATAGACATTGGCTGAGGGTATAGATCTGCTGCAACAACGGACTGATACTTTCTAACTTGTTTAAATATTGTCCAATAACCATCAGACGGTGGCAGATTTTTTAAGGGTTAAGGAAACGCACATTTTTTCAAATATTTTTTTAACAACCATCCAAGTATTGTATATTTTTTAGGGATTTTGTAATTTTGATTCTGAACAACCGTCAAGAATCGTAAATTTTCCGTTCGTCTGTCCACTTTTTATACCCTCCACCTTGGAAAGGAGGGTATATTAACTATGTCATTCCGTTTGTAACATCCTTAAATATTCGTCTTAGACCCCATAAAGTATATATATTCATAATCAGCATAAGATTCTACGTTGATTTAACGATGTCCGTCTGTCTGTATGTCTGTCTGTTGAAATCACGATACAGTCCACATTATTTGACGTAGAGCGCCAAAATTTAGCAGAGCAATTTGCATTGTGTCTAGGATGGTTGGTATTGAAAATGAGATATATCGGTCCACGTTCTGGTATAGTCCCCAAATAACGGTACCTCCCGATATTCGGTAATTTGATGATTTTTGACACATTTTTTTACGGATTTGTCTGAAAATTGGTATTTGTAGGTCATAACGGGTCCCTGTGCGTGTGGCAAAACATTGCATGTATAGGTCCACGTTTAGGTATAGCCCCCATATAAAGGTATCTCCCGATATTCGGTATTTTATTTTTTTTTCCACATTTTTTCACGGATTTGTCTAAAAATTGGTATTTGTGGGTCATAATGGTTCCCAGCTCCGGTGGTGAAACATTGCATGTATGGGTCCATGTTTTGGTATAGCCCCCATATAACGGTACCTCCTGATATTCGGTAAATTGGTGATTTTTGCCACATTTTTTCATGGATTTGTCTAAAAATTGGTATTTGTCATAATGGGTCCTAGTTCGTGTGGCGAAAAATTGTAATTATAGGTCCACGTTTTGGTGTAGCCCCCATATAACGGTACCTCCCGATATTCGGAATTTTAATGGGTTTTGCCACATTTCTTCTAATGTTTCTTTTACCCTAAGGTGGAGGGTATTAAAAGTTTGGCCGAACTTAATATTTTTTTACTTATTTTAACAAAGTACGCACATTCGGTCGAATTCAGTACAGAAGCAAGTACTTCAAATTTGGTGAAAATTGGATTCAGTCATTGCTATAGCTCACATACATATTTCATCCGATTTGGGGCTTAATTTTCTCACATTTAGACGCGAAAGGATCATACGTATATTTTCAGTAAATCCCAAATTGTAATATTCTTCCTCTGAAAGATAAACTCGTCTGGTATTGCTTTCAAAACTGGATTCCGCCCATCATAATACTATTGACAATGAGCTAGCATAATAGCGCATAGCAACAACTAATAACTTTGAAAAATTTGAAAAGAAAAAAGTCTAATCTTAATTCAATTAATATTTTGATTGTGGCGCTTTATTGGCCGAAAATCAAAACAAAGACAAAAAATGTGCGACCATTAAAATGCAAAATCATCTGGTTTTATTGACGTCACACTCGACATTGTCATTTTATTATGTTGGTGGCATTTTTGTAAATTCATATTTTATTCTAGGCTACGATTAGTATCTAATCTCATTAAAATCACAAAAAAAAAAAAAAAATAAAAAAAATGGGACTGGTTATTGGGCAGCAAAATTATAAGAAAATTTGCGACGAATTGGGAAAAATGCAAAATTTTTCAAAAATAAACTATGTTTTTTTATAATTAAATTTAATACAGAATTTTTTAACTATACAAATATCTTTTGTTCAGAAACTCACAATGAAATTTGAATAATTCTTATTTTGACATTTTCCGAAAAAAATGAAATATGAGGAGAGATATTGGTTTGGATTGAAAATCTGTCAAATAAACAATATAAAAAAGGCAAGACGTAGTTTTCACTTTTAGTACATTTTGAATGTATTTTTCATAAAAACTATTGCACTTAGATATAGGGCTTATTCTGAGATGTGAAATTTTGTGTAGAACAGTTCTTCTTTTGGCATCTTCCACCTAACACGAAGTTTTATGAAACTTTCAGGCGTCAAATCGAAAAATTAAAAAAAAATTAAAAAAATTGAGAAATATTTTCGTTTTTTTTTTTTTTGGAACATTGATGCAAGTATTTCTTTGATATTCACTGGAAATAGAGATTTCGGTTCTTTGGTGACATAGTAGAATTTGATGAAGAATATTTTTTTTTTCTGCGACGTCGTCCTTCTGAAATTATGATTTGTTGGAGACTTTTGCACAAACTCCCACAAAGTACGGCTTATCTCTTAAATATACATGAATTCCTGGTGTTTGGGTAGGATTTAGACTCTTGACGTCTTCTAGGACCTATTGTAGAATTTTATGACAAATAATTGTATTATTTTGACTTGCTACGATACCGTTTAAAGGAAGTTTTCCACCATATTTGAAGAAATGATCCGA